AGGGGGCTAGGCATCTACCCCTCCTTCTGCCCTACATGTTTCCTTTTGGAAAATAACCTCACTCCCACTCACCTTCCACCCTCTTCCTGAAACTCCTGGTCATGAGCATGCCATAGAGCTGAGAGTTCAGGACTGGAACACACTCTGGAAAAGTTGATGCTTTACCAGTGGTTCAGCTTACTTGCCTATCCAAAGAACATCAGCTTTACCGACAGTCTGCTGTCAGTGAAAACAACCTGGTTACAGAAAACAGCTAGATATTTTTATTAGAGTACAAAAGAACATGAGGAAAATTCTCAGCTACAAAGAGGGAGAGAAATTTAGAAGTGTGTTAAGAAGCCATGCTAATGCAATCTGTTAGGGTTATTGAGGCAGTTTGCTAGTCATTTAATGTCATAATACAGAAAATTGGCCAGGTTGTTGGACAATTAGATCACTCAATAGTTCCTGTCTCACAGTGTTGGTAGCATAGAAATTCTCATTTCAATAATATCTCCAGATGCTGATTAAAAGCTATTGAAGCCAAGCTCTACATCGTAATTAAAATAAAAGTTTTTCAAATCAGCAAGTCTGAAAAATTTGCATTCAAGGGTTTCTAAAGGGCTGTCTAAGAAACTGTCAAAGTTGCTGTTGATATTTTTAATAATTTTTGAGCACTGCAATTCTACAAGACTGGAAAAGCAAATGTGGTGCCAATATCTGAAAGATGAATTGGATGAGCCAGGTATTTAAATATGAAAAGGTTCTGTATGAAAAATTATAAAATATCCGGCTTGGAAATCAATCAGTTAAAAATTAAGGGAGGGTAATATAATACCAATCAATGTGGATGGAGAGAAAATGGGTGGTGCAAATTTGTTTTGCCCTTTTTTTTTTAATTAGAATTTGTTCAGAAAAGCTGGTGATGCTTTTTTCTGTTAAATCCTTCAGTATGTTTCATTTGTCATTTTGTAGTAGAATATATACCACCTTAGTTTCCCTATCATTTAGCTAGACAGAACTTAACCTGCAGGCTTCAAACTGGCAAATGTGAAGCGGAAAGTTGTCACTCATATGTTGCTGTGATTTGGTTCATGGTCCAATTTTTTTTCCAGTGAGTGATCAAGGAGGTAGTTGCTGATGGTTTTGGAGATGATACACATGATAATACAGTTAGTAAGGCAATACGTTGCTGATGCAGAACCATTTGGATTGCTGGTTTGGATAATGTTTCATTATCACCAAATACAGAGTTTATATGCCCAGGAATACACTGTAGACAGAGCTTGCAGTACTTATGTTTGCAGGAGAGTTAGGGCAGAGGCTCTGAACTATGTATAATACATCATTGACAGCTGAGCATGAGGTCATTGTTCTGTACAGTGGTCAGTAAAACAAACATAGAATGTATCCCTGGATGCCTTAGTAAGGGAATGCTAAGTCAAGACCTGAAGAATCCTGTTCCGTAGTTGCATAACTACCAGGGAAGGATGTCTGAGAAGGGCACCAGCTTTGAGGCAAGAGAGGTGCCACAAAATGCCTTTAGTCTGTAAGAGTAGAGCTGAGGTCTAGTGAAGGAAAGGACTGTTCCTTCTCCAGCCAACACGTGCAAAACATGCAACACGTGCAGCTGGGAAGGTTAAGTGAGCAGTGTGAGCTTACCAGGGCTTCTGACTTGGATGTTGGTATGCTGCTTTTGGCTGGGGTAGAGTTAATTTTCTTCACAGCGGCTGGTATGAGGCTGTGTTTTGGATTTGTGCTGAAGGTATGAGGCTGTGTTTTGGATTTGCCAGGAGAGGTGACCCAAACTGACCAAATGTTCCAGACCGTGTGACATCATGCACAGTGTATTAAGAGGGGGAAGGTGGGGGACATCTGGAGTGATGGCACTTGTCTTCCTGAGGAACTGTTATATGTGATATGGCCCTGTCTTTGTCCCAGCCCATGTGTTTTCCAGCTTTTACCTTTCTGATTCTATCCCTGATCCTGCTGGTGGGGCAGTGAGTGGTTGTCTCCTTTTTCCCTTGGCGCTGCTCACAAGGCATCTCCTTTTTCCCTTGGCGCTGCTCACAAGGCAGAGGAGTTGGTAAGCTCCAGAACCTGACCCGCGTGCTAGCAAGTCTGCCTGTGAGAGACAGTATCTCAGGAGAAACATATATGAACTGGACTTTCTCAGGCCAGTAAGAACGATTAAGAAGCTGAAGAATTGGCATAATGGAAGGTTCAAGAAAACCTTGATTTTATTTTTATTAGGCTAGATGAAGGTGGAGACTACATAAGTAGTTGGATGGGCAGAAATGCTTTCCTAACAGGCTCTTCAGCTTAGCAGCAAGACAGTGGCTGGAAATCAAAGCTGAGTGCAGTCAGACTGGAAGAGTAATACATTAAAATCTCCAAGCCAGTCCATCTCTCTCTATAAAAACTACAACAATCCAACCCTTATCAGACAATCTACTGCACAATTCCAGTAAATTTCTCTCCTGCCTATTAACATTGGCTTAAATGTTTCTTCTGTATTCTGTTCTTTGATAATGATTGTCAGCAGGATTCCAAGTTGAAACTGTATCTCCCCAGCATATCTATCATCTCATTGAGACAATAATTGAAATTGCTTTATGAATTGGCACCGGGGCACTCAGGCAGGGAGGTCAGGGTGAGCATGCATTTGGCAGCTAATGATGAACTCATGGATTCTCTGGAGGAGCCTGTCTGGAGCTGCACCAAAGAGGGTACTTTGTACCTGCCAACACAAGATGGGCAACTGAGAGCATGAGACTCTTGGGAAAATGTCTTATTTTCCCTTCTCATTACTTATCTTAGCTAGTCTTTCAGACCTATTTATTTATTTTGTACTGTCTGCTTTGAGTAGGTGCTTTTAACAGGGAACTACCACTTTAATGCCTAATTCATCCGTAACCTTCTAGGCTGATGTGACTATGGAAACATCAAGGCAGATGTGTAGCATTTTGGATATCTTTTCATTGCATCTCTGGTCCTGCAACAGCTGAAGACCGACCCAAGTCTCTGAACTTGAATTTGGTGAATGAGGTCTAATTAGGTTGCAGAAGAAGTAAAAACTGTGTTCCCTCACTGAAGTCTTGCGTCCGGAGGTTTGTGTGCGTGTTTGTGTATTCTGCTAGACTCTGAGGTTGTGTTGAAATCTCTAAGAGGGTCCAGGGAAAGTGGGATATAAGCCTTGGCTTTTGCACTGAGAGTGTTCTTAGACAGCAGACAAGCTTAGCTGCAAGGCGGTTTTTGGGAGAGCATGCACAGCCTTGTACAGGAAGTGATTGGAACATTTTGTCTGGACTTAACCGCAAAAGTCAAAAACGTCATTTCAACATTGAACAAGATGCAAATAAGAAACCCAAGACTGATTTAAGTATGGCAAAAATGTCTTGTGATGAGATAATGCATGAGCTTAAATTGGTTCATTTATTGAAAAGATGATTGAGAAGCAGCTTGATTACAGTTTATAAGTACTTTCAAAGGGAGAAAACACCAGGTACTGAAAGGCTCTTTGCTGTAGTATAGAAAGTCATAAGAAGAACCAACTGCTAGAAGCTGAAGTCAAATTCTTATTAGAAATTAAGCAGTAATATTAGTACCACTTTATCCACAAATAAGTTACTAGGTTCTGTAAAGAGGAAAGACCATAAAATTTTTCTGTTCGTGAGACATAGGAAGTCAGGCAAATTAGCCAAGTTGTCTCTTCTGACCATTAACCAGGGAATCCACAAAATCACAAGTATTTTAAAACAAATTTTCTCTGTTTCATTCAAACCTATCTGAAAAAATATGGCATTCTTGCTGCTATCAAAGGTTTAGTTGGAATCAATCCAAGAAATTTTTGTTTAAATCATTTTAAAATACATGATATCTATGCAATTGCTTCTGGCATTATTCAGGGATAACAGATGTAGTAATATTTCAGTCTATAAGGTGATAGGAAACCCACAGGTGTCTCAGAGTGCGTTGGGTTACTTGGGCATCAGTATTTTGTCATCTTGCGTGACATTGCCAGCAGAAGGTAACAGTGACAGTGTAGTGCCCTTGGAGGGACATTTTAATACTGAGAGCTAACCAAGCCTTTAAAACTCATCCTTTCTTTTAATGCAAGGCTGATCCAGAGGTGTTTGTTTAACACATATTTCACTGGCTGTGCCCAAAACAGATGGATAAATTGACATGTGGTCCTCTCACATACACACAATATGTGCTAGAACATCATAGTAAAGTGAAGAAGTTTGCCCAACATCACTTCTCTCTTCATTTCTGCATTAAGTTGCTCTTAATCTTTGGGTTTACCTACCTTTATGGTGTAGGCTGGTACTCTGTTAGTTATTGTTGCTTTAGGCAAAAGGTAACAAAGTGACTGTGTCACAGAGGTGAATATACAGAGGAGTGTTACCTAAATACAAGTATGTGGTGTCCTAGATTGCTAACTGAAAGCTTTTGTGTCTTTTCCCTGACTGTTATCATATGTTGTATTATTACTTTTTTTCACTGTGTACCTTTAGTGTACTTTTAAAAAAAATTATAACAAGAGAAAATGTGGTACTCTTTTTCCTGAGAATAAGAATAAAATTAGCTTTTGTTTTATCTTCCACTAATTTTGGATACTTTGATTATCAGGTTCTCTTTGTAGATTATTTTTTCATTGTCACTGATTGTATTAATTGCCCATTTACAGAAAACTTCCTAGATAATAATCTGGGTGCAACATCTAGAGAAAGGAGTTGCAATCTCTTATTCAAAATTTGATCTCTGTGATTCATTCTTAATATGTAAAACACCTGAAGAGAAAACAAGGAAGTGTAGGCTATACCAGCTATGTAAATATGCTTTTCCTGCTTATTTCTTTGGTGTCTAAATAACAGAGATTTTAGAACTTGATTTGAGAACTTAGAATTATGTTATATTTAGTAAATTCTTAATTAGTAAAAAGTAGTTCAAATGTTGACCATCTTGGTGGATCTTATTTTAACATCCAGTTTTACTTTGTTTTCTTTTCATTCTAGATAAACTTGCCCTGGAAGGAATAGTGGTGCAACGTGCCGAATGCAGACCTGCAGCTAGTGAAAATTATATGAAGCTGAAAAGGTAGGAGTCCTTCATGACAAATGATATGTGATATCTGACTTTGGTGCTTTTATTATTGCCTTACTAGGGAAGGATGATTTCAGTATTATCATGGTCTTACACCAGATTTACACAGAATCAGAACTGATCTTGCTTTTGGAGTTGATTTACTGGGAGGGAATGGAGGCTACTGTGGGAGTTTTGTCTCCCTCTGGTTTTGTCTGGTATGATGTATGATGTCTCCCACTGTATTTGTCTGGGATGATGCAGACTTCTGCATCCCATCATAAGCAAATTTCTTACTAGAGCACATGTACCGTTTCATATCTGAACATATGACTGTATTCAAATGTGATTGAAGCTGAATTTCCTGAGGGCTTAAGGAATTACATTGTTCTGCTTGGGATGCACTTCTTGAGTGTGGGTTTCTGTGGATCACCCAAGTTTAATTTCACTTTACACTGTGCCATGCTAGACAAAAAGGATTTCTGAAAAGATATTTAAAATGTCCAAAATAGGAAAGAGTTTCTGGAGAAGTGCTGTACCTAAACTGGCATGCTTCTTAGGAAAGGTAGTTACTGAAAATACTAGACTTGACATGGAAATCACAACACACACATTTAACAGGATCATTTAGCGACTTCTGAAAATTAAAGCTAATACCTCTAGAATTTACCATGTGATTCATATATCTTATGGGTAATTAACTTGATGATGTTCTCTAGTAATCAGATTTTGGATTGCATTGTGCCTGACATTAAGTGCATCTTTATGTATTTTAAGCATGTGACTTTTCATTAAATCACCTTTTTGTACTGTGAGTTTGTTGTAAATAGAGAAACTCAAAGCAGGAAATTTCAGGAAGAGAATTGTCCATGACTGCTTTCAGAATTGTAAAAAGAAACACAGAAAATGCAGTGATGTTTTTCACCAATGCCTGATCTGATTTCTGTGTATCATATATATTTTCAGTATCTTGTATTTTATTAACCTTCTCTGTCACCTAAATTGCTCCAGTATTTCCTCAGTGAGTTCATTCAGTTTTGACATTTTATGTTCTAGCTGTTGGCAAATTAGTACCATAAGCTTGTTCCTGTATAGTGAACTACTTCATTTCAGATGGAGTTCTGTGATTGCTGTCATGGCTTTTGTCGTCACTAGGAAATGGAGTATGAAGCAACTAGAATGTTATAGAAAAGGACTCATTTCAATCTGGCAGTTTTAAATATACATGAATATAGACTGTAAGATGTATTTGCTTCATAATTGTTCTAATCACAGGTTTCCTGATCCAAGTGCTTTTCTTGCATTTTGTACATAGTTGATCAGATAAGCTTCTTCTGGTAAGGCCCCAGGAGACTGAGAGAGAACTGATAGCTTTAATTAAGTATTACCCAAACTTTGAATTTTTCAGCATTCTACTTTCTGTCATGCATGCATGAATTCAGCCCCTCCTGGTCTTCAGTTTTGTCATGTTTTACTCCTATAGGAGCAACAGAAGTACAAAAGCAGATTTTTGTCTCTGAAAACACTGACAGGTGAAAACAATGGTACTGTTGTTTTTTCCTTCCTCTAGAAAAATTGTCAGGCTGCTTATTCCTACTTTCTAAGTTTCCATGTTGTTAAAGATTTTTTGCCTTCTACCAAGAAGTTAAAAAAAATAGTCTGATCTGTTGAGAATCAGCATGAGATTTAGCACATCTAGCAGTCACAGCCTCAGAAGGAATTGGTTTATATCCAAATACTGTATCTGGTATTTGAGTAGTAGGATCTAACTTTTCACTCCCTTTATGCTCTCCCACCCTCAACATGCTACAGTCTGTATATAAAAAAAGGTGACAGCATTAAAGAAAAAACACATACAGAACATAGAGAACTGTGTTACATTAAACCATTTTTTTCATTTTTCTATTTACTGTTGTGCTTTGTATGAGAGACTCTTCAAAGATGGAATTTATAATGTTGATAAAACAATAAGTCTATTGTGTAGGCTTTGAGTGTTATAATACTAAGTTGAGTTGGGGAAGAAATAAAATTAAAAGATAAATGCAGTTGCTTCAAATGTTTAAGATCTAGAAAATGAAGCTGCACACTCTCAAAATCTGTAATCTTTTTTTTTTTCTGAGAGCTGGCTATAACCAAAAAGGATTATATACTTCCTGGTATTAAATGCAGGTACGGATCCTATTTTGCCGTGTGCATCTGGGTCAAGGAGATCAGCTGATGGATGCATGGCGTGGCATTGGTTTCCTTGCTGCTCTGTAGAGTTTCAGTGTGAGGATGAGTTGATGGGCTTGTGATGGGCTTGCCAGCATTTAAGTGGGACATAAGTGTGACGTGTGGGTTTAAGGATGGATGAGGAAACTCCAGAAACTGATGACATGTGTGAGTGAAAGCATTACCAAATGTACTAGTCAGGAGTGCTTTTTCTTCCAGCTTTTGATTTGATTACAGAAAGGATGGAGATGACTGATGTTTGCAACATGTTGAATACAAGGCACAAATGTGTGTCTAGGGATAACTGCTCCCTCACTAAGGTAAAACGGAGGTTGTATGACTTGGTATTCCATTTTTCAGGTTTGTAGTGGGTATATTTATTTAAATTTTTTCAGTTTTCCTTTCCATTCTAGAAGAGGGACAAATGCCACGAAAATCCCACTATCCTGCGCTAGTAAAGTTTTGTGCTATTGAACTTCCCACAAGATTTTTATTAGCAGTGTATTTCATCTTCATAGCACCTTAATGATTTAGTTTACATTTGCAGTTATTGAGGCTAGCTGGAAAAAATGTGGTTTCCAAGCACCCGTCATGGTTTCTGTCTTGTGGGAGTGGATCTCATGATCCCATTTAAAAATATTTGGACTGTGTAGGGAAAAAAGTAGGCAGACCATTTCTAACTGCAGACAGCTTTGCTGTGCAGTGTCAAAGAAAATACTGTGCCTACACTACTCTATGATAGTTGCCTTCTTGCCCCATGGAGCCTGTCAGACAGTGGGGGCACATGTGAACTGTGGTAGCAGTGTGTGTGTGTGTCACAGGTGGGATCACACACATGGCTCACTGTGCAGCACACTCTGTATTTGCACCAGGCTTGTGCCCGCATCATCCCACCATCCATGTATTCCAGACTGCCTTTCCCTTCTGTCACGCTGCCTTAGGCAGGCTTCACATCCTCTCTAGCCAGTCCCATGTGAACTCAACTATTTTCTTACTGTAGTCAACTTTCCACCATGAAGATGCATTATCTGTACCTTAATTTTGTCTTTCTGAGGCTTAAGAGATTTTAATTTCATGATCCCAATGTTTAACCACCTTGGATTAATGACCCTCCCAAAGAGGGAGATTTTCCAAGCAGCTTGTCTGCGCTGGGAAACATAGGACACAGGAAGAGAGGAGTTCCTCAGACATTCAGGATCCCTTCAGGCTCCAGATGACTTGAGAGAATATAGATGAGAAGAAGATTTTGATACTCCAGATGACTTGAGAGAAGATGAGAAGAAGATTTTGATACTCTTAAGGGGTGTTTGCTATTCACAAAAGAGGGAAAATGGAGAGCTGGGGTTGTGCAGGGGGGAAAAAAAGAGGCATAAAGATTCCTTTCTTCTTTTTTTTCTTTTATACACTTTCTGGCATATGAATTATATTGGTTACGGGAATTTATACTTTCTTAAATTTTGGGAGAGGCTATTGATCTGATTACTGGATCTCAGCTTCCTTCTTTCTTTTGTAAATACCTGGAGACAGAGGATAAAAAAATAAGGCTTTGCTGGTTGTCTTACTGTTCTCCTTTTGTTTTACCTTCAAATGGCTTCATTACAGCCTGGCATGAAATTTGCCTTCTTTCAGTATTTTAAATATCATTGCACCAGTTGTAGCCATCTCAGATTCTTTTCTGCCACATTACCTGTTTCCATCCTTGCACTGGTCCTCACATCCATTCTCTTTATCCCTCTGATCATAGCAAACTCTCTTCTTCCCCAATACTTTCTCAGACCCTCTTTCCCATTTCTCTTCTCCATTTCCTCACAGAAAAAAAAAACATTTTCAAAAGTATGTGGAGCACATCAGTATCTTGTATATTTCATTTTAAGATAAAGTTAAGAAGAAAAAAATCTCTGAGAGTGACTTCTGCAATGCTCCAATTCAGATTGACATTGTCAAGTTGAGTAGTTACAGAAAAGTCTCCAGGGCTGCTCAGGTCCTCTTCACTGGGGTGGCTGGGCACCAGGCTCGCAGTTCTCAGAGGAGGTTTTGAAGGCACAAGGGAGGTGCAGCTCAAGCAGTTGATGAATTGTGTGAAGTACTGGTTAGCACTTCTGCAGCCATGGAGGGTGGCAGGCAAAAAAGGATTAGTTCAGTACCCTTGTTTCATTCATCAAATGTGATGCTGAAATGCTGCTCACCTTTCCCAATGGCTTTTGGAATACTCTGATTTGACTGTACCTAATCTGAATTACTGAGGTCTCAGAAACCTTACCCCAAGCGAAGAATAAGAAGATGTCCTAGGATTACCAAAGCCTAGAAGAGCCAACATTTAACAGTGCAACAAGGCTGTAATTCCTATAGCTCTCTTAAGTAGTTTTAAAATACACCTTGAAGTGTCATTAGTGAAAATAGTGATTGCCAGTATGACAGCTTGTAACAAGGCTGCAAGAATTCTTTGTATCTTCTTGCTTTTTCTTATAAGAGTTTTCTACAGAAAATATAATGAAAGTCCTTAGAAAAAGCTGCTGGAAGAAACGTGCATAATAGACTTTTAGAAGTAATGGGTTGTAAAATATTGTAGAATAATTAATGAACTTCCACATTTGAAAAGTCACATTTCTTTACAACCACATAGTGGAGGCCTCTAGAAGTCCTGAAGCTTGGTGTTCTAGGTCAAGCAAGTAATATTAAATTAGTGCAGATGAGTTGCTCACCTTTCCTAAAGTACTGACTGACTGACAGTTCAGAATATTGCTGAAAATGAGCATTATGCCAGGGTTTTGGGGGTTTTTTTTGTTTTGTTTTTTTTTAATTGG